ACGACTAGCTCAGTTTCATGTAATCCCCCATTCATCCCCCTCCCCTATCCCCATTGCATTATTTTGAAGCAAATCCCAGACATCATAACATTTCACTTGTAATATTCTTCAGCTATATCTCTAAGATATGAGGAATATTTTTTCTTCACCACAGACTTTTGTCATGTCTTACTAAATAATGGTAATTCCTTAATATAATCTAATACATAGTCCATGTTCAAATGTCCTGGATTATCTCATGAATGTCTCTTTACAGTTGGTTTATTGAAACCAGGTCCACGCGTTGCATTTGTTGCTGAAGTGGGCGGCGTCTGAATGGCTCCGAATGATCCCTGCCTCCTGGTCTTCCCTCCCCTCCACATAGGCTTGGCCTAGTGACCCACTTCTATAAAGAACAGATTCAGCAAAAGGGATGAGCTGTCACTTCTAGGATAAGGCCCTAGAGGTCCACGGGCCAGGAACTGTGAGCAGCCTCCAATGAACAACTGGGGGGGGGGGGGGCGGACAGAGGTCGTCAGACCAACCACCCCTGGGAACGGAATCCTGCCAATGTCACTGGAGTGACCTTAGACGCAGATTCTTCGGCCACTTGAGACTGCAGCCCTGACCTTGACTGCAGCCTTTTGAGAGCCTCTTAGCCCAGTTTCCTGACCCACAGAAATGGAAATAATAAATGTTGTCTTATTTTTTATTGATTTTTTAAAATATATTTTATTGATTTTTTACAGAGAGGAAGGGAGAGGGTTAGAGAGTTAGAAACATCGATGAGAGAGAAACATCGATCAGCTGCCTCCTGCACACTCCCCAATGGGGATGTGCCCGCAACCAAGGTACATGCCCTTGACTGGATCGAACCTGGGACCCTTGAGTCCGCAGGCCGACGCTCTATCCACTGAGCCAAACCGGTTAGGGCTTATTGATTTTTTTTAAGAGAAAGAGAGAGAGACAGATTTGTTGTTCCATTTATTTATGTAGTTATTGGTTTTTCTCGCATGTGCCCTGACAGGGGATCAAATCCACAACCTTGGCATATCCAGACGACACTCTAACCAACTGAGCTGCCTGGCAGAAGCGAATAAATGCTATTTCAAACCACTAGGTTTGGGGGCAACTTGTCGAGTAGCGATAACTAACCCTGCTGCTGTGTCTCTCTAATATACAACAGCTTCCCAGCCTTTTCTCCTTTTTGGGGGGCAAGGTCTGGTTCATACGGCGGATAGGGTTGTTCATTTTGTTCAGTGACCCTCAAAGTGGGACCGGGACTCCCCTGGGGGACGGCCCCTCTTAAAAATCCAGACGCCTGGTCTCCTGGGGACCTACTGACTCTCTGAGGAGGGACCAGGAACCTGTTTTGGTAAGAGCATCCCGGGGAGTCTTTCGTCCACCAAAATCGGGACTCAAATAGGCCTGATTTGGAGACCTGGCGACCCACTGGCTGGGGGCATTGTGAGCTCACTTCTCTGAACCTGTTTTCTCATCTGTAAGATACGATTCTCACAGTATTTACTTCGCAGGCTGCTGTGCCTCGGGCTCCCTTTCTGTCTCGTGGTTCATGGATGTGCTCTCTCTTTTGTGAGAAACAGTTCGCGTTGTAGATACTGTGAGGGCGAATTGGGCCTAGGGATGGTTTCACACATATCCTTGCACACTCTGTTACTGGAAGCATGTACAACAAGCATGTCAAACTCGCGGCCCGCGGGTCACATGCGGCCCACAAGGAATATTTTTGCAGCCCAGCCAATATAACGGTATGTAGGAAACGTTTTGATAAAAGTTTTGTAACTTAATTTTTACAATATCCTGTTATACATAATTATTAATAACGAACTACAACGTTCGCTAATGACTGATTGCTGTAATCATGTTGCATGCATTTCCCTTACATGCCTCACACGCAGGTGCGCCATTTCTCTCCACTAACGCTTGCAGCGAATATTTTAGCAGCCAATTGCCACGTCTTTAGTCTTGGACTGACTTGTTTGGTGTGCGCAACAGGAAATATTTCACTTTCGGAGAACAAGAAAAATAGGTTTATTTGCGTGATGCTGATTAATTTGTGCAGATATTCAGTGTCTGGTAAGTTAATGTTCAAGAAAAAATATTAATTTTTATTAAAATGTTCTATTATTTTCTGTTAATGGTTACTCATTTATCGCAGCCCTTTGTATTCAGCCATGTCTCTATTGAAATCAAGTGGCGGTAAAAATAAATGAAAAATTGCTGATGAACATAGAAATTTCCAAGAAAATTGGGAATTGGAGTATTTTTGCCAAGGAGTAAAAAATAAAATAATGTGATATGTAATAATGCCATTAGTGTACCAGAGTTATACATTGAAAGTTGCAGCTTTTGTTTTTTGCGGCCCACATAAACTTAAACTTTGTGTATTTGGCCCGGGTTAGTCACTGAGTTTGACATGCTTGCTGTCCAAGCTCAAGTCCTTGCACAGGAAAGCCAACCTGTTTTTTCAGTTTGCCAAACAGAAGTTTCTTCTGCATGTTAATTTTTATATATTTAAGACAGCAAACTATATTTATGGGAAAATCAGCTCGACTGCATATGAAATGTTGAAAACAAGAAATTGTAGGGAATCTGAAATGTCAGACCCCCCTTTGGTTTACTTTGTTTTTCTAAAATATATATATTTTTTATTTCAGAGAGGAAGGGAGAGGGAGAGAGAGAAACATCAATGATGAGAGAGAATCATTGATTGGCTGCCTCCTGCACGCCCCCTACTGGAGATCGAGCTCACAACGCGGACATGTGCCCTGACTGGGAATCAAACCATGACCTCCTGGTTCATGGGTCCACGCTCAACCACTGAGCCATGCTGGCTGGGCTTACTTTGTGTTTTGAACTGTCTGGATTTTTCCTGCAAATGACTACTGGGTCTGTGCAATTTCAGTGCTCTGCATTTCTATGCCATATATTTCAGTCCTTGTTTCAGTTAACTCTTGCTTCCTAAATTTAGTGGCTTAAAACAGCAGCAATCATTTATGATCTCTCCTGGTTTCTGTGGGTCAGGAATTCAGTCAGGCCACAGTAGGGATGACTTGTCTCTGGTCTACCATGTTTGGGGTCTCAGAGAAGTCTTGAAAGTTGGGGGGCTGGAATCATCTAAAGCAGCGGTTCTCAACCTTGGCTGCACATTAGAATCACCTGGGAATCTTTTTAAAATCCTGATTTCTGGGCCTCATCCTCTGGAAATTCTGTTTCTTTGTTATGGGGTGGGGCCACAACATTAGTAACAAAGAAAGAGAATTTCCGGAGGATGAGGCCCAGAAATCAGGATTTTAAAAAGCTTCCTAGGTGATTCTAATGTGCAGCCAAGGTTGAGAACCACTGAGCTAGAGAGAGTGATGGAGACCCAATTGTCCCACCCAGTTAGTTGCACCTGGAGGCAAGGAAGCGGCCCTTCACGCATCCAGACCGTCCAGCGTGGGCAAACTACGGCTCGTGGGCAAACTACGGTGGGCAAACTACTGCCTGCGGGCTGGATCCGCCCGTTTGAAATGAATAAAACTAAAAAAAAAAAAAAGACCGTACCCTTTTATGTAATGATGTTTACGCTGAATTTATATTAGTTCACACAAACACTCCATCCATGCTTTTGTTCCGGCCCTCCGGTCCAGTTTAAGAACCCATTGTGGCCCTCGAGTCAAAAAGTTTGCCCACCCCTGGTTCAGACCCTGGGCAAGGTCTGCCATGAGGAGGAGGCGGGGCAGCTGGGGGCGGCTATGCTGTTGGAAAGGGACCTGGGGGGCACCACAGAGGCAACTACGGCTCAGAATTTCTGACTGTGGCCACGGTGACAATTTCCTCATCAGTGGAGGGTCCATTCTTAAGCGAAGGAGCCGGGTCACTTCCCACTCGGGCACTGCAGGCCCTCCTAGGCTAGGGGCTCCCAGGGACCCACTGCACCATGTCTGGGCCCAGGCGATGCCCCAGGATCCTCTTCTCCTCAAGGCATCTCCCCATCCTCACCCACTACATCTACTGGAAACTTTACTGTTCTTTTTATTTTTTAACATTTTATTTACAAAAAATTAATTTATTCTCAGAAATGAAACTCTTTTAAGGTGTCGATTGTTTCTCTTCACAGACCTGGCTTGGGAGGAAGAGGAGGTGCAAGGACAGGGCGAGGGAAGTGAAGGGGGAGGACATAGAGGGAGGGGGCAGGGGTGGGTGGGAAGGGGGAGGCAGCAGTGGACCGGCTGGGGGCAGGGCTGGGGGGGGGGGGGAGAGGGGAACAGTGACAAGGTGTCCCTTCCTGGAGTTGAGGCTGAGCTGCACACATGCTCATGCGGGCCGAGAGGAGATAAGAGTGAGGGAAACGGGAGACCAGTGACCTCGAAAGTCACTTGGGTAAAGGGGGGGGGGGAGGCAGACCCAAGGGATGGAGAAAAGAGGGAGGAAGCAAGAGTGTGACAGAATGAGGTCACATAGGAGACCAGAAGGTCCCTGGAGAAAAAGAGAGGACGTACAGCGCAGACAGACGACAGAGGCAGAGAGATGGAGAGAGATGGAGAGAGAGATGAGAGAGAGATGGAGAGTGAGAGATGGAGAGAGATGGAGAGAGAGATGAGAGAGAGATGGAGAGAGAGATGGAGGGAGATGGAGAGAGAGATAGGAGAGTGAGATGGAGAGAGATGGAGATAGAGAGATGGAGGGAGATGGAGAGAGATGGAGAGAGAGATAGGAGAGTGAGATGGAGAGAGATGGAGATAGAGAGATGGAGGGAGATGAGAGAGAGATGGAGAGTGAGAGATGGAGGGAGATGGAGAGAGAGATAGGAGAGTGAGATGGAGAGAGATGGAGATAGAGAGATGGAGGGAGATGGAGAGAGAGATGGAGAGAGATGGAGAGAGAGATGGAGAGAGATGGAGAGAGAGATGGAGGGAGAGAGATGGAGAGTGAGATGGAGAGAGATGGAGATAGAGAGATGGAGGGAGATGGAGAGAGAGATGGAGAGAGATGGAGAGAGAGATGGAGAGAGAGAGATGGAGAGAGAGATGGAGAGAGATGGAGATAGAGAGATTGAGATAGAGAGATGGAGGGAGATGGAGAGAGAGATGGAGGGAGATGGAGAGAGAGATGGAGGGAGATGGAGGCGCTGGCAGGAGGCTGCGGGCCGCCGCGCTCAGGCGGGGCCCCCGGGCACCAGCTGGCCCAGGTCGGCTTCGGTGCAGCGCACCCACTCGCGGTAGAGGCTGCACACGCGGAGCCCCAGCACCTTGGCGGGGAAGACGCCGGCGGCGGCGGCGGCGGCGGCGGCGGCGGCGGCGGCGGCGGCGGCGGGCTCGGGCCGGGGCTCGCGGGGCTCGGCGCCCAGCGCGGCCAGCACGGCCTCCACGGCGGCGCCCAGCGCCCGGGCCTGGCGCGCGGCCTCCTCCAGGCGCCGCAGGAGGCGCGGCGCGCGCGGGTTCAGCTCGGCCTGCAGGCGGCGCGCCACGTCCAGCAGCGGCGGCAGCGCGGCCAGCGCCCCCGCGTCCCGCCGCAGCCGCTCGGGCGCCGGCAGGCCCGCGTGGCCCGGGGCCGGGGCGCTCAGGCCCGCCACCGGCAGCCGCGGGGGCGAGAAGCCGGGCAGCCCGAAGGGGTCTCCCTGCTGCTGCACCTGCGGAGACAGGCCGGTCAGTGGGACCCCGGGACGCCGCCCCGCTCCTGGGGCCTCCGTTTCCCCATCCGCACAGGACACATTCCGTGATACACAAAGCAACTACCAGAAAAGTGCCCTTACACCAGTGCCTTTGCTTCTCTTCTCTAAAATGGAATAACACTGCCAACTTCCTAAGGTGGTTATGAGCGTGTGAAAATCTCAAGCCAGGTCCTGGCCCCTGGGGAAGGCACAACAAACACACTAGGGCAAGCATGTCAAACTCAAAGGCTCACCCGGGCCAAATCAACAAGGCGGAAGTGTATGTGGCCGCAAAAAAACAAAAGCTCCAATTTTCATAGAAACCTAGGTTTATTTCGATAGAGACATGCTGAATACAAAGGGCTGAAATAAATGAGTCATCGTTACATAAAATAATAGAACATTTTAATAAAATTAATATTTTTTCTTGAACACTGACTTACCAGACACTGAACACCTGCACAAATTAATAAGCGTCGCGCAAATAAACCTATTTTTCTTGTTCTCCGAAAGTGAAATATTTCCTGTTGCGCACACCAAACAAGTCAGTCCAAGACTAATGATGTGGCCATCGGCTGTTAAAATATTCGCTGCTAGTATTAGTGGAGAGAAATGGTGCGCCTGCGTATAAGGCATGCAAGGGAAATGAATGCGACACGATTATAGTCATCAGTCATTAGCGAACGTTGTATTTCGTTATTAATAATTATGTATAACAGGATATTGTGAAACATTAAGTTACAAAATTTTTATTAAAACGTTTCTTACATACCGTTATATTGGCTGGGCCACAAGCGGCCTGTGGGCTGCAAGTTTGACATGCTTGCACTAGGGTGCAAATCCTGTCTCCATTTACTAACTGTTCAGTTTTTTACAAAACCATTTCCCTTCTCTGAGCCTCAGTCTATCTGTATAAGTGTGTGTGTGTGTGGGGGGGGGGGGGGGTACAGATCCTGTTCTGTCTTCCTACCAGGGATCTCCAGAGAATCAGGAAAGATAGTAGGGGAACTAGTCCTTTTCACCTCCCCCCCCTCCCCCCCTGCAACTCTCCCACCTGTGTGCACCTGCCTGGCACACAGCAGTGGCTTCATGAATAACTGTCCTATGAGTGAACAGATAAAAGCTAAAGGTGATTTGTAATTTGTAAAACTGCCATACAATACCATTTATCATTTGCTAATATCTTGCCTCTGGTTCAGGCATTGTGCTTGCTGCTTTAAGCACACTATTCCCAACTGTCCCAATAATGGGTGTGACGGAATTATGATGACTTTGTAAATGAGGACTCTGGGCTGAAGAAGTACAGTGACTTGACCTGGGTCCTCCATCCAGGAAGGGGCAGAACTGGGATCGGAACCAAAGTTGGTAGGACTACAAAGCTGATTCTATTATCCCGCCACCTCCTGTCATAATTGTTACATCATTATTGTAATGTTATCATTCCTGCCCAAGGTCACAGTAAGATTGGCAGGCCCACAGTCTGTCTGCTTGAAAACCATACCCCCCTTCACTACACTATAGTAATTTGGAGAAATATCTTCTGTTCTTAGGCAGGCCCTCTACCCCACCAAAGACATTGGCAAATCTCCCTCCTTTGTAAAAGTCCTCCGGGGATGGATTTTTTGACCCGGATTGAAACCCCTTCTTGGCCTCTCTGTATAACACAGGTCAGAGTTCACATCTCGTCTTGTTCAAATGCCTCCTCTGACAGCTGGTGAGACCAAGGCCATGGAAGCGAGGTGACAAACCCGTACAGAGTCTGGAACCTGGGTTTCCTGACTCCCAGACCAGAGTTCTCTACACTCTCAGGTTGCCTCTGTCTTAAGCACCAAGGGAGCCTCCAAGCTTAGGTGGATGAAGGGGCCTTTGGGGAACAGAGATGACCCTCCTCCAAGTGCTGTGTGGCCTGGGGCAAGTTACTGATCTCTCCTGGAGCCCCAGTTTCTGCAGCTAGGAAATGAGGTTGAGAAAACAGGCAGTCAAGTAACCCTATGATCTGTATTTCCCTGATCCCCAGGCCCCCCACACCCATCCCCACTCACATATTCCTGGAAGAGCTGCTCAGCGTATTTGGTGAGGAGGCGGGCAAGGCTGTGTGTCTGATGGATCTTGGCCTCCAAGAGGGGAAGGGGTGAGACTGACGAGTCAGCCTGGGGGTCTTCTGGTGGGAAAAGGGGGGAGGAATGAGGGCAGCCCCAAGCCCTCCTGACCACTTCGGGCTGGCCCTTTCTTCCCGAACCCAGAAGCTCAGCTCTGAATTCTCCAACTTTTAAGCCAGGCAGGCTCTGTCCCATCCCAACTGAGGGAAAATGAGATACCAGACATTTGCCACACGTTTTTTCTGCGTGAAATGTGTTCCCTGTCTCAAATTACTGTTGAAATACTATTAAAGCCAAATTCAAATACTGCCTCCTTAGAATTTGATTCACTTGGATTCACTCCTTCCCTTAAATTAACTTCTTTCTTCTTCTTAAGGCCATTTGTTCATACTTCCAAAGTAGTTCTTTTAATGGCTCTTTTATGTGTGTGAATTGGCCTCATCTTGGGAGCCATTTGAGGGTAGGGCTCACATACCTCTGTACCTCTGTAATTGTTGGTGGAATTCAAAATCACTGAAACACAGAACTTCAAACCGGAATGCGCCTTTCAGCCCATTTTACAGATTGGAAGACTTAAATCCCATTCCCTCCCTGATAGCCTTTTTACGCAAGGCGCTGGGCTGGGCACCACACAGCATTAATTGAATCAGCGACCCGTCTTCCTTAACACAAGCTGAAAGGTGGTGCCCGGGAAGGACTACATTTCCCGAGACGCCCCGCGCCCGCGCCCGGGGCATGCTGGGGAATGTAGTACCGGCTTCTCAACTCTGGCGCCGCATCCCCACCCCCACCCCACCTGAGTTTCCCACCGCCTAGTCCTATCTTTATCAGCCTTGACTCTCGCCTCTGGTTGTCATTCACCGTCTACCGTGGCCCAAAGACTTCCCCTCCTAACCCTATCACTCCCTCTGGCCCCAGCTCTGATTCTTTGCCAATATTCAAAGAGGACCCAGGCGCACAGCTTCGGCCACGACCCCAGTCCTCCCCCAGGCTGGACTCGAACCGGTCATCTCACCCCTGAGCCCACGTCCCTGAAGGCACAGCCCCCGCCTCCTCGAACTCCGGCGCCAGCACCGTCCCACAGCTCACCCACAGCTCACCCACAGCTCACCGCCTGTTACCTGACACCCGGCCCCGCTCTCCCCCTCTCCGGCCGCTCCCTTCCCCGACCCGAAGGTAGCGGGGACCCAGACCCCAGCTGCCAGCCCTTCAGACACTGCTCCCCGTGGGCACTCGACAGTCACATTCAGCCCCTTACCCAGACTCCCCTCCCTCCGGCTCATGCTGGCCCCAGGCTGATCCCGTGGCCTCCACGCCCCCCTTCCAGGACGGGGAGAAGGGGGAAAGGGTAGGGGCGGGCCCGGGCGCAGCCAATCAGGGCTCAAACCCCAAACAATTTCCCCCGCTCCCGCCCCAGGCGAGATTCCTTGTCGGGGAGTCCAGTTCACTGCCTGCTCGGCCGGGTTGAGCAGGGGCCTGGGCGGGGAAGCAGGTTGTGTGCCTGGTGGGTTTGGGACCTCGACCCCGGGGAGGACGGGGACCAGGGCTGGGAGGCAGCCCTGCATCAGGCCAGGAGGAGGAGAGGAGGCTCAGGCTCCGGTCTGGGACAAGGCTTGGCGCCGGGCTGCCTTTCGGAGAAAACTAGGGTTGTTGGAGAGGGTGGGGCCGGCAGGACAGGAATGTGCGGCACTCTCTCTTGGCTGGGAAGGAGGGGGAGCGGGGGTTCGAAGGCTTAGGTAACACCTGACCAGACACACACCTCCTTCCTTAGATACTGTATGTCCTCTGTTCCCGTTGCACCCACTAGGAGAGGAACAGGTACACCAGCTCAACTACCTTACCAGGCTCACACACCTGCTTTGACTGCATATAGACGTTCATTCTCACACAGGAACAAGCTTCAGAGACAAGTGTGTGTGTGTGTGGGGGGGGGGGGGGGGTCTTACCCACATGTCAACTCCACTAACCTGGTGCAGACAAAAGCCCAGTCTGTCCTAGGCTCTGGGACCCAGAGATAACCCAACTTGCTTTCTGGTTCCCTGGGGAGTTCACAGTCTGATGGGGGAAACCAGAGGTAACAGCAGGTAAAGTGACTGACGGGACCGGGAAGAGGCTGTGTCTGTGAGGATGATGCCAGAAGAAAGAAAGAAAGGGATCGCTGGCAGAGGGCACAGCAGGTATGATGGGACCAGATTGTTCACAGGGTCCACAATCACATACTCATTTTTAAAAATATGTTTTTATTGATTTTTAGAGAGAGAGGAAGGGAGAGAGCTAGAGATAGAAACATCGATGAGAGAGTGTAAGAAACATCATCGGTGGGCTGCCTCCTGCAGGCCCCCCCTGGGGATCAAGTTCGAAACCCAGGCTTGTGCCCCTTGATTCCCGGGTCAGTGCTCAGCCACGGAGCCACTCCAGCTGGGCTCGCACACTTATGAACCGTGAATATTTACTGAGTATTTACAATGTGCAAGGCACTGTTCTAAGAGCTCTACACTTATGAACTTACCCTCGTGTTATAGTTGAGGAATTAGAAACAAGTGACTTACCCAGGGTGACTGGGCAACCAGAGCTGGGATTTTACCCCAGCAATTTGGTTCCCCAAATGCTACCATAACCATCTTCCTGTACCTTAACCTCTGTGGACCTAGTCTCACCAAGACAAACAGACACAATAGCCACACCTTTGAAATAGACACACACACACACACAACACACATTTAGCCGTCATATCTGGCAAACAGCCTCAAATCAACCAAGACTTGCTCCTTTTAAATAAAGTTTTCCTTTATTTAAAGTACAAACATCCATGAATTTTTACAGAGTAAATATGCCCAGGGGACCAGCACCAGATTAAGAAACAACATGACCAGTTCCCAGAGCCCCTCCCAGGTCCTCCCAGGCCCAGGGGTGCCCGCTATGCTGACTTCTCACACCCTAGGTTAGTCTTGTCCGTTTGGAACTTCACAGAAATGGAATCTGACAGTTTGCACCGTTGTGTCTGACTTCTTTCGTGAGACTCATTCCCTTTGTTGGGTGTAACGGGACTTCATTCTCCTGTGTCCAAGGTGTGAATGGGCTTCAGCTCCTTTCCCACTCTCCTTCGATGGGTTGTTTCCAGCCCGAGGCTGTGATCAGTAGCGCTATGAACAGTCCAGCACCCCTCGCTCCTCTCTCGGTCCTCATACCGGCGCATTTCTGATGATGTAGGTGTGGCATTGCTGGATCCCAGGGTTGGGGTGTATTTGGGGCTCCTCTAGAAAACTGCGCTTTCCAAAGTGTCTCTACCAACGTACACTCCCCCAGAAGCACGAGGGGTCCCGTTACTCCACTTCTTCCCCCGCCCTCGGTGCATCAGTCATTCTCATTTCAGCCATTGTGGGGGGTGGAGCCCCACTCATAGGCAGCGTCTCGCAGGTCCGTGCGCTCAGTTAATAGACCGCTGAAGGAATGGCTGGAGGAATGGCTGGAGGAATGGCTGGCCAGCGTACAACTAGACAGCCTGGCGAGGGTGGACACACACACACACACACACACACACACACACACACACACACACACGTGCGCGCGCGTCACAGGCGCTCACGCGCAGAGGACGCCACCCAGACAGTCCTTCCCGTTCCCGGCGCCCACGTGCTCTGAACGCACCCCCAGCCCGGCCGCGCGCATCCAGCTCGGGGCTGCCCCCAACCTCCCTCTGGGCGGCGGGCAGGGGGCGCTGCGCGTCCGGGCACCCCGAGGGGGCGGGCCGGGGCGGGCGGGCTTCCAGGCCTGGACTCAGTCCGTCCGCGCTGCGGGGCCGCGCCGGGGACTGGCGGCCGGCGGGCGGGGCGGGGCGGGGCGGGGCTCGGCGGCAGGAAGCGGGGCGGGGACTCGCGGAGGCGTTGGGGAGCGAGGGAGGGCGCGGCCAACTCCCGGAGGGACGGCAGCCCGAGAGCACCGCCGCCCGGCCTGGCGCCGAGCCTGAGCCCGCCGGACGGGAGGCGGCCCAGCCGCGGGCTCGGCCTCGGCCCCAGCCCCGCCAGCATGGCCGGCCGGACCGTGCGGGCTGAGACCCGGAGCCGGGCCAAGGATGACATCAAGAAGGTGATGGCGACCATCGAGAAGGTCCGGAGATGGTGAGCGCTGTCCCGGGGCCAGGGTCGGGACTGGCAGGGCCATTCCTCCTCCAAAGGCGCCTACCCGCCCTTCACCAGCGGTGGCCCAGGTGTTAGGTGTGTCCGCCAGCGGCGCCCCGGATCTACAGAGCTCCGTCCCCTTCTGGCTACACCCCGGGGTCTACAAAGCGTGTGCCCCAGCCGTGCCCGTCCGGAGCAGGAGCCCCCCTTTATGCCCCGCCCCCTACGGCTCTGACACTCCTCCCCAAAGTGTGCCCGACCCCAAGCCAGGCCCGTCGCCTGCTGCCCATGTCTACCCCGGGGTCTGTGAGCCATGGCCCCTTCTCTGTCACTGGAGGCACCTCCATGGATGCCCTGGGATCTGCCGGTCCCCTTTCTCCCTCTAACGACGCCCCATTAGCAAAGCTGCCCCTTCCCTGTGCTCCACCCACACCTCTGTAGGCATCCCCAGATGTGCCTAGCTGCGGAGGGAGGCTCTCAGCTCAGGCCTCTCTGACCTAGTCCCCCCACTCTCCCACAGGGAGAAGCGCTGGGTGACTGTGGGCGACACGTCCCTTCGTATCTTCAAGTGGGTGCCTGTGGTGGACCCCCAGGAGGAGGTGAGCAAGCTCCCCCACACCAGACCCCGCATCTGTGCAACCCCCGGCGAGCCCCTCCCCATCCTGGCCTCCACCTCCAGTCCCCACTCTGAGACCTCAAATGCAGCAGCCGAGACACATGTTAACAATTATTGGCAACTCCACCCCTTCTCCCTTTCTCCTGCTCCAGGCCCGGGAATTCAAGACCTCACCCCGTGTGCACCACCTCCGTCACCTCACGCAGGGCCTTTCGCTTCTCTGCCCTCCGCTTACTTTTCTGTAGGGTGGGGGCTTTGCAAGCGCTAACTCTGATCCTTGCCCCTCTAATCCCCAGGAGAGACGGAGGGCAGGTGGCGGGGCAGAGAGATCCCGAGGTCGGGAGCGTCGGGGTCGGGGTGCCAGCCCCCGAGGGGGTGGTCCTCTCATTCTGCTTGATCTCAATGGTATGTAGGGATCCTGGGACGGGGGGGGGGCGGTGGGGGGGGGCTAAGGGGTTGACGGAGGGGACTGGGGACCTCAGGCCCAACCCTCTCGACTTTTGCTCTCACAGATGAGAACAGTAACCAGAGTTTCCATTCGGAAGGCTCCCTGCAAAAGGGCACTGAACCCAGCCCTGGCGGCACCCCGCAGCCCAGCCGCCCTGCGTCCCCTTCCGGGCCACCCGAAGGGGCCCCGGAGGAAGCTCAGCCCCCACGGCTAGGCCAGGAGAGAGGTAGGGCCAGGTGCCGCCCAGGAGCCCTCCCTTCTGAGTCTTGTCCTCTCCAAGGCTGAAGCCACCAGCTTACCCCTGTACCTGCTCCCCGTCTTCTGGTGCCTCCTCAGGAGGCCTTCCTGACTCCTGTGGAAGGTCAGGGACCTTCCTCTTGACGTCTGGTCTGTTGATAACTTATCACTGGGATTTTCATGTACATTTAATGATTACCTAAGTGTCGTTCTTTCCCTCGTCCACCTCATGTCAGCTGCCTGAATGTTGGGTCCATATTGGTCTTGTTTGCTACTGTGTCTTCAGAACACCACGTGGCACACAGTAGGTGCTCAATAAATATTTGTTGAGAAATCAATAACAGTGCTAATCTTAAGAGTGATTAATAATATGTGATAATGACAGCTAATACTGAGCTCCTACTGTGTGACAGGCACTCTTCTAAGCTTTTTACATGTTTTATTTGATCTCCTTTAATCCTTACTACAACCCTATGGGGATTATTATCACCACTTACAGATGAGAAACTGACCGCCCAGCTCACCAGCCTTGAGCACGAGTGCTCCCCCGCTTCTCTTTTTTCCATATAGTCAACGCCCTAGCTGGTCAGCACCTCCTCCCAACATCGCCCACCTCCCTCCCCCTCCCCAGGCTCTGTCACCTCATCCTCACCAAACTCCAGCCTCCTTGTAGGTCTCCTTTCCTTCAGTCACCTCCACGTAGCTGACGGAGCGACTTTTTCTAAAGCACAAGTTTGACGGGGTCATTTTCCTGCTCGCAGCCTTCAGTGGCTCTCAGCTTGCCACTCTGGGCCCTTTGTGAACCATGCCCTCGTGACCTCGTTCCCTTTCAGGAACACCATGATTTGGGCCCATGGCTGTGTCTAGATTGTGCCATGTGCTTCTGGACCTTTACTAATATAAAAACAATAACTGGCCTTTATTGAGCACTAGTTAACTATGTGCCAGACACTGTGCTAAGGACTTTACCTGTATTATCTCATTTAATCCTCACACAGGCTCATGTGGTAGCTACTATTAACTATCTACATTTTACAGGTGGGGAAACTGAGGTCCAGAGAAATTAGGTCACTAGCCCAAGGTTAGGATTTGAACCCCAGCAGTCCAACCCCAGAATCTGTGCTAAGTGCCTGTTCCCTCTGCCTAACATGCCTCCACCTCCCCGTCTGCCTGGTCAGATCTTAC